CACGGATCATCGCCGAGAACCAAGATGGCTGCTGGTCTGTCGGCGAGTAGTATTACAAAGAATGGCATCACCCTAGCAAAGCGCATATGAAGGCTCCCTAGTGCGAGCTCTCTGAGAAACAGCGCGCTCGAGACGAGTCGCAGGTGTACGAAGTCTAGGTCGGCACAGAGAGGCCATGTCTGACCTCCTTCCTGGGTTCGGATCACCAGAACAGCAGGTCACATTCACGTCGGCAGATGACGTACCCCTGAGCCGTGCAATATTACGGGGGCAGCCGCAGACGCATTCAAATATCTGTTGAACTTCACTGCCTGAGTCATCCTACTATTTCAAGCCAACCACCGCCAGGCTCATGCTGAAACGGACTGTGACTCAGCTTTGCCGGCTGGGTGTACTGTGTACGCTAAGGCAAGAAAGACGGTTAGCAGCGGGCTTCGGATGCCAGCAAACAGTGACTAAAAAAATCCCTACCAAAAAACCTGCGGCACTAAATGCTCTGACTGCACTCCTGGCACGCCACCTCGTTCGAGTCCCCGACTACGCAATACTTCTCAGAAGAGAGAAGAGGACGCATAGAAAAATAGTTTGGAGTATCGGAAGGAACCTTGGTCAGCATAGTAACAAATCCCCAGCATCTCCCTGACCCTGGTGCCCTTGTAGTAAAAAAAAAAAAAAAAAAATGCGTTCGGATTTGTTTTTTTTTTGTTTTTTTTTTGGGGGGGGGGGGGGGGGGGGGTAGTATGTCTCAAGAAATGTAACGAAATACATTTCACCCTGGTTGTGTCGCGATACAAAGGAACATTCAAAGTGTATTTCGATACAGGAATACAGATACTGATGAAAAAAATGTATCGCGATACAGAAATACAGATACGAAATGTATTTCTAAAATACTATCGCGATACAGAAATACAGATACGAAATGTATTTCTAAAATACTATCGCGATACATTTGTATCGCGATACTGCCCAACCCTGGTCTCCTGCCATCAAGAGTTACTTGGTTCAATGGGACTCCCTGTTTCTGCACGACAACCTTCTCTATACCGACGCTGGGAGTCAGCTGCTGGCGGTTCTGTCGTCTGGCAGCTGCTGTTGCCACGCAAGCTCTGCTCCCAGGTATTTCAACAACTGCACAGTAGCCCAGAAGGAGGACACTTTGGTGTGAACCGCACGATCAAAAAGATTCGTCAACAGTTCTACTGGCTGCAATGCCACAATGACGTAAAGCAGTGGTGCCGTCAGTGCGACATGTGTGCATCGCGTAAAGGACCCCACATAAAACAACGGTCACCACTACAAGAAAATGTGACGGGGGCTCCCTTTGAGCGTATCGGCATCGACGTACTGGGGCCGTTTCCTCGGTCTAAGTCTGGAAACAGGATCCTGCTCGTAATTGTAGACTATTTCACCAAGTGGCTCGAAGTTATTTCCATTCAAAGTCAGACCGCCTCCGAGATCACCGACGCTCTCGTAAAGAATTGTATTACCAGATACGGAGCCCCATTGAGCATCCACTCAGACCAAGGAAGGAGCTTTGAATCGCGAGTGTTCCAAGAGGTTTGCGAGATCTTAATATCACAAAGACGAGAACGACGCCCCTTCACCCGCAGTCGAACGGCCTCGTGGAGAGGATGAACCGCACCATTTTACAACATCTATCGATGTTTGTAAATGACCGCCAAGACGACTGGGATAACATCGTGCCTCTGTTTCTCTACGCATACCGCACAGCTGCTCATGAGGTCACCAGCTACACGCCCGCCACGATGCTATTTGGCCGTGATCTTCGTATGCCCTGTGAAATTGCCATCCCACGAGCATCAGAACCGGCCAAAGACCATGTGTCTCACGTAAGCGACCTGAGAGCGAACCTAGAACGGATGCATGCATTTGCCCGACAACGTTTGGCAAGTGGGCTCGCTCGTATGAAAACTCAGTACGACCCGCACATGTCGCAACACGCCCCTTCTCAGCAGGTGATAAGGTATGGCTGTACAATCCCATCCGTAAAAGAGGACTGTCTCCGAAGCTTCAGCGCCATTGGCAAGGACCCTACGATCGTCGAACGGATCAACGACGTGGTATATCGCATACGTCGCAATGATCGATCACGTCTGCTCGTGGTTCACCGCGACCGGCTATCACCGTACGAAGGACTTCGTTAATTTTCACTACAAGGAGAGGAAAAACAATGGGAGGGAGGGTAATGTAGCGATGAAAAGAAGAACGAGGCCGGAGGTCGCGCGATGCGAGCGCTCGGGCAAGCAGTTCGAAGCAAGCCAGCAAAGAAACCGGACGTCTTGTCCGGCTAATAAACAGCTGGCAAGCGGAACCCGCTTCAGTATGTTCGATGGGATACTGCTGCTTTGAACACACATAGACCAAAAAATGAGCGCCGAAATTTCGTTGTAGTATCCCTTTAAAGGGACACTGACACTTATGGTGTCGGAAGACTATCCAACAGGCACGTATCCAGTTCCCCCTTTGAAATCTTCCATTTTTCTGGGGCTTCCTCTCCCCCCTCCCCCTCATACTGCATTTTGTCATGTTTGGTGTGTGTGTCTAAACCATAGAAAACGACCCGTGACCACATTTTTTCCTACACCTGAGAAGAGAGTGAGCGCGACTCAAACCGGTCAGTTCTCGGGCGGAAAGAAAACGAATTTCGAGCAGCAAATTGTGTTCTGGGTATGTTGGGCTCTGATATGTCATGTACAAATGAAAACCTTGGCGAGCACAAATACCCTGTCTCTGTCCCTTCAATAGCACCTCAACTCACGGCGATGTGTCGTGACATATGTAGTCACTGTGGCTATTGCGTTTAACATTTTATTAATGCGAAAACATTAACTGTCCCATGGAGCGAACCGACGTCATCAGCTTTGAAACCACGCCAAACGTTGGCCAAACGGCACATAAAATCCCCACTCCCAAGTGAAACCAACTTCAGATGAATTATGCTCCCATTGGCTGGCGCGCGTCATCAAGAAAGGATGCTCCCATTGCCACCAGGGAAGCCCTTTTCGTGGCGGCGCAGCGAACACAGCGGTGCGGCCGCCGGTAAGAGGAGGGAGCGATGGCGCACTGGCGGCAGAGCTGGCAGAGCCACATCCCGCCCGGGCAGGCTCCAGAGAGGCCGCACGGCCGAGCTCATGAAAGCGCGCGCTCGGCCGTCCGCGGGCGACACGTGGCCGTCCCACGCCACTACGCCGGAGACGAACTAAGGGAGCGGAAGAACGACATTCATGCTTTCGTATTCACAACTCATAAGAAGTGCTTAGGTGTCTTGTTTTTGCTATGTATTCTTGTCAACTGTGCCCAAGTTAGCCCTACCGAAAACCCAGTATAACTTCAATATCTAGATTATGGAACTGGAAATATGTATCTGGAAACCCGAAATCGAGACCAAGACAAAGGAATAATTTCTGAAAATTTGAAATCCAGATAAAATCCACACATAGGCGTAGACTACGGAAAAGCATCGGGGCTCGTGCCCCCCCCCCCCCCCCCTCTTCCCCGGCTTCGGGCCATGATCCTTACCGAGGCGCTGTTTACGTCCCGTGTAACGAGTTTCTAGTACTGGCATGTAAACAAAATAATGCACACGTTGCCTTTATTGGCAAAATACATGGGAAATGAAGTCCCAGCGTGCTTCCGGGGGGTCGGGGGGTGCTGTTCTGTTTGCGCGGAAAAGCACCCCCCCCCCCCCCCCCCCCCGGAAAACTCCTCAGCCTGACCCCCCCCCCCCCCCCCCCCCCGGGAAAATGGAAAGTCTACACCGTTAAATCTACATATTCAGTTCCGCAATCAAAATTGCGAAAAGTTCCTCGGTAGAGAAGCAAAAAAAAAAAAAAAAAACAACAACAACAAAAAAGAAACCGGCATTTTGACATGATGGAAAAGACACTCGCTTAATAGTTTAAAAGGTCTCGGTTCGATCCCCGCTTTCTCACTGCGATTCCAATCAGTGTCGAGCCTCGCGGCTACGCTTTTATCCAGGCTTCACTTTTATATTGGCTTCACGAGATGCCGAACCCCTAGCTAAAGAAAGTTCCACGCTTAAAGTAAATCGAGCTCCCACGGTAGACAGCTAGCTGTGTTTCAAATATTGTTGTGTCTCAGTGGCGCTTCCTCGCGGGCGCTCTCAGCTGCGACGCAGCTCGTTTGATTCGAGCAGACGACGCACCGAGTAATCACACGGTTTGGTTATGCCAGTTCGCTTCTATGTTCATTGAGCCCGTAATTTTTATAAAAGCGTGTACGACGTGCTTAAAAGTGTTTTTTTTTTTTTTTTCTTTTCTGCTGATTAACATCATTTCCAAGCCACTTTACAAGACACTGTCTTAAAATGTTCCGAAACACTTGACAGTTTGCGCGGCGTGCGTCACGGCAATCCTTTTTTTTTTTTTTTCTTTTTCTGGAGTGTAGGACGTGCTGACGACATCTTAGCTGTGCACGCGCGCCTTATTGTGTTGCTTGGCGCAGCAGTTGCTTCAGTGATGCGCACGGGCGTTCGAAGCTTCAGCAAGTTTCAACGAAACTGTCACAAAAAACTGCCTGTGACATTCTTTTTTTTTTTTTTTTTTTTTTTACGTAATAAGCAGGTATATTAACTGGCATACTTATAGAAATAAGCGGTCAAGAAATGGCACGCGTTGCCCCTCTTTTCAAGTGCCTTCCGTTTCCTTCGCCTCTCTCAATTTGTTTTGTCACGTTGTACGCTGTTTTCTCACGTTGCCAACTTGTCACGCTGTTTTGTCACGTTTCCGATCTATGGAACACTTGCGATTTCCGTAGATCTTTTTTTTTTTTTTGCCCATTATTCTTTCTTTATTGGCTTGAAAAACGTTTGACAATATCTCATAGTATATATACGTACATTTTAGCTCGAAAATGCTGCAAAATCTTGCTAGCGTGTTCTCTCGTCGCAAGAAATCACAAGAACTTGGTCGTAAGCAAACGCACAAGTGTGAACCAGCCTTGTGAAATGTACAAACCTTACTGATTCGGTACGTAGAGGGGGCTTGACCCGCTTCCATGTGGACCGTGGCCCTGTACAGAATGGGGTAGGCGAGATCGCGAATCATCCTGCGTTCCCTGGCGCCGACGAAGTCGTGTACCAGGACAATCCTGGGGTCTTCCGAGAGCACCTCCAGCTTGAGTGGCTGCAGAAGCAAGAGCGGATGGTTTTCGTTGGTGGCCAGCTTGCAGCGGAGGTGGCCCGCGCTAGGAAACTCCGAGTCGCAGAGCTGCGAGAAGGATGCTGCATCGTCCCCGACTGGCGAATGCTCGAGCTGTGGGTCCTTCTGGGCCAGGTCCACCAGTCTTGCACGCCTGGACACGTGAATCCGGGAAAATAGGCAAGAATGTATTCGCAGTGAAACACGGCATGTATAGCACTACTTCTAGGGCCCATGAAACTTGTATTGTTGATTCCGCTAATTATGCATAGGTGTCATCACTGATGCGTTATGCAGATAAATGAACTGTACTGGAAAGACAAAATCCTTGGCGCTTCGTAACCTTTGTTTTTCCCGTTCGATGAGAACGGTTGCTTGATCTGCATATTTTCCGTTATTTCCACTCCATAGAGACCGCTTAAGAGAACCCTGTAGGTTATAAAAAAGATATAGCTTCGTATTTAGCTCGACACGCTAACTGTTACAGAAAACACCGCAGGACGTCAAACATCCTATGGACACGCACCAATTGTTCTTTTCCCGACCTTTGCCACTGAGTTCGTCAACGCCACGTGCGGTTGGTAATGCCCAACAAGTGCATAAACCAAGTCTCCGACTTTTTTTTCTTATTATCATTATTATTTTGGCACAAGTCTACTGCTCAAGCTTATTCAGCCGTGACGCTGAATTCGGCGTCACGGATTTCCGGATAACAAGATAGTTGTCTTATGTTCAGCATTGCACGGTATGCTGACGCTTATATCGGAGATGGTGCTGTTGCTGTAAAGGCCCTGTAAAGGACAAAAAGCGTGAAGCGATACTTCTTCGCCATATGAAGTGCGACGCTACCCTTCCGTCCGTCTTTTTTTTGCCGGGGGGAGAGTTTCCCTCCGCCAAGTTCCGCTTATGTCCTTTACGGACGCCTAGAGCATGCCCGTCACGTGGGTCCGGACATCGCACGCTCTGTTGGCTGTCGGTCAATCGTTCAAGGACTCCGCTGCTGTTCAAGTACCGAAAATAAGGAAGGGAAGGATACGAGGGTTGCGAGAGAACTGAGGAACAGGCATGCCATTGGCAGGTGGCGTGTGACGTCCAGTCTGACGAGCACTGACGTCAAGGAAACGCAGAGGAGGCGAGGAGGAAAGCCGTGATGTTTGCCTGGTCCATGTCCAAACAAAAGACGGGGACTGCCGGACTTCAACTTTCACTTCATATGGCGAACTGTCGCCTCACGGGTTTTGAATTATCCACCTCAAAGGATGGTCAAAATGAATAGTCAATCTTTCCCTGAAGCGTGTCAGATGCCCTTCGTTGGCATGGTACGTAAGACCATCAAAGCTTACCATATCCAGGGAGGCGCCCATTTATGGCACCATTAAAACAAATCAAATAAAACATACTAGCTTTATGATGCTGACAAACACCGGGCTGTACAAAATGTGTTGTGAATTAGCTGGGCAGATTCTGTTTGTGACGTCACGTGACATAATTACGTCGCGTGAGTGACGTCACACGACGTCGTGGTGTCACATGGTATAACGTTGCGTGACATCACAAAATCAAGTTACCTCATGACGTCACGCTACGTCATGGTGCTGCACCGGGTATGGGCACCGCGCGTGCGCAGAAACAAGGTTCGCCTGAGACGAAGCATTTGCGCATGCGCAGGTCGACAGCAGCGCCACCGCAGTGGCTTGACGTCAGAGAGTTGTGTTGGTCTATAGAACACAGTTTTGAAAGGAAAATCTAGATGGCGCTTCAAACGACGCGAGGCAGATTGAAGGGAGTGAGGGGGGTACCTCCTTCGCGGGAGTTCCACAACTGAGGTAATCTAATAGCGTTGCACATGGCGTCAAAGTATCACTTGACGTCAAGTGACATCATGTCACATGACGTCATGATGTTACGAGATGTCACAGCTCTTCGTGACGGTTCTTCGTGACGGTTCTCTCATGCGATTTGGCTGAATTGTTCAAAAGACTCTCGCAACTTTGGACTGGACGTAGGGACGTCCCGTACATAATCGTACCTAACCATTAAACAAGAAACACACTCACTCTTCCTTCGACGCTCCAAAGTCATACGCAGACAGCAGGTTAAGGATGGTCGTTTTGTTTCTGAACCTGAGGGTGGTCGTCATGAGGGACCTCAGGACGTTGTCCCAGTCTTCGGTGGGCTGTTCTTCTTCCTCCAGCACATCGAGACTGGACGTCCACCAGCCGACGGCGCTCTTCACGTCGCCCGACTTGAAGCACCTGGCTGCTACTTCCATCCGGTCGTGTGCGGAAGCATTCAGAGACGGACTGCAAGAGCGGCGTTGTGTTCTTCAAGAACCTATTGCGAACGATCGGTATGATATTACCTCGGTCAGCGCGTTCATTGCTAAGATAAGCTACGAAAACAATTGCTTTCAAGCTTTATCAAAGTCTAGCTCCTGCGAAACTTTTATATTCACTGATTTGCCTCAAAACTGAAATGCCTCAAAAGACATTAATAGACAGATCTGAACAAGTAACATAAGTTACAAGTCACGATATTTCTTTTTCTCGCAAAATCATTGAAGATTTATATTCGGTTTGAGAGCCTAAGGGGCTCTACTGGCAACACCGAAACCGCGACGTCAGATGTTATATGTGGCCATAGTGCGGCATTACTGCATGTTCTCGACGGGTCACAAGAAGTTTGATGGTGTGAAAATAACGCTAATTAAACTCGCCCCCCCCCCCCCCCCCCCCCCCAAAAAAAAAAAAAAGACGATTTTTTTTTTGGGGCTGCTTGCTTGACTTGCAAGCTATCTTATACCTGATATGACGTTACCTCGCTGTAGTCCGTGCAGGTGTTGGTTCTTGGCATCTACTTTCATTTGCCGTTTTCTCAATAGTTATTTTATATATAATTGAGAAGAAATAGAATGCCGGAAAGAGTATATGAAGCCTGGATATTCCAAAACTATGTTTAACTTAAACGACTCAAGAAAAAAAAAGATTTTACGTGTGTGTCTTATTGGCTCGCCAGTGATGACAAGGTGTGATGCCCTAAGCCACTGTAATCTTAATCACAAAATTTACTCACAAAAGGCGTGAGGGCGTGTAAAACACAAATTTGTGTTCCTCTGTTTATGGTCATCGACAGTTTAAGGAACGCAGGACGTACGTGGCTCATTATGTTCACTCCTCTTGCTTCCTGATTGGCTCTTCAGCGTTCTTATCGCCTAACGCCGCAATCTCCTTTGCTACGGATCGACAATGAGATGCTAGGAACTCGCCATACTCTGTGTTCATTACGCTCTCAGTGACTATACAGTCTCGAACAGATTCATACTTGCAGGCAGTGTCCCATTAATTATGTTCACGCATCTTGCTTCGCAATTCGTTCCTCGGCTTTATCTCATCGGATATAATACGGCAATCTCAAAAGTTACTCCGTTCCCAAATATGTTGTATGTATAACATGGTATTTGTGTTAATGCGGTATTCATACTAACGGGGTCAGTGTTACCGAGACATGACTGTAATAGAATGCTCGAGAAACGTGCACGCCCTGGGGCGACCTCGGCAATTTGTGAAAGACACGAAGAGGTTAAGTTACGGGCGTTCTTCGTTTTAAGATTACCGTGGCTATGGGCCTCTCCACCTTATCATCACTGGCGAGCCAATGAGATATTATAGAGAGGTGTACCGCGTCCCCAAAGTAAGCAAAGAATTAATCGCTGCGACCAGTGTACATAGTGACAACTTGGCAAATGATTACCTTGTCATTGACACATAACGCGCCATTAACTTGTCTAACATTATACAATATATGATCGGTGGTCGGCCTGCACCGCACACTGGCCATATTACTGGGCAATGTTTATCACGATATTAATCTAGGGAGCCATTACACTCTGATAGCTCTCTGCCGACACCGAAAGCCCCGTCCATCGTCGTCCTGGTCGATGGCTTCGACAACGGCAACAGCATCGAAAGAGAGGGGCAATTGATTACACGTTGACCCAATGTCATCGCCCTGGCGATCAATATAGCGGGCAGCCAGGTGGTTCGGCCGGAAAGGCTGTAGACCTCCGCTTGTCGACGAGGTGCGAGCCCAACACGACAAATAAACCAGCGTTACTCTGGTTTACGACGCAGGGTTGTTGGCGCCAGGATTGCAGTGGATCCCCAGGTGTGTTCCCCGTAAGGTTGTGGTAGTTGACGTCACAATATCAGGTGACATCACAAAGTGACGTCATATGACATTGTAACGTCCCGTGAGAGCATGACATTACGGGACATTATGACGTCGACGTCACTTTACAGCCACATCACGTGCCGTCGTGACGTTGCGTTGCATTCTGATGTCTTCGGACAACACTACGTATGTGCTGCAGGGAGTAAGAGTTTTTTTTTTTTCATCTGCATCTATAAATCTGATTTGTCTGTTACCCCCAATTCTAATGATATTTACGCTTTTAATTTGGGTAAATTTACTAATAAAGCGGGGGAAGAGAGTTTTTTCATCTTTATTACAAATCTGATTTGTCAACTTCCCCCAACTCTAATATTATTTTTGCTTTTAATTTGGGTCAATTTATCCATAAAGCGGGGAGCAAGATTTTTTTCATCAGCACTACAAATCTGATTTGGTAACTTTCCTCCATTCTAATTATATTGGGGCTTTTAATTTGGACACATTTATCCATAAAGGGTGGAGCCAGAGTTTATCATCTGCACTACAAATTTGATTTGTCTACTTTCCCCTAATTGTAATGGTATTTGTGCTTTGAATTTGGACAAAGGTATCGATCATAGATCGGGGAACAAGAGTTTTTCATATTCAAATTTGATTTGCCTACTTTCCCGCAGTTCTAACGATATTTGTGATTTTAATTTGGGAAAATTTATCCATAAAGTTTTTTCATCTGCACTACAAATTTGATTTGCCTACTTTCCCGCAGTTCTAATGAATGATATTTGTGATTTTTATATGGGGAAATTTATCCATAGAGCGGGGAGCAAGTTTTTTCATCTGTACTACAAATTTGATTTTCTACTTTCCTCCAATTGTAATGATATGTTTAAGTTATACATAGATCGGAGAACAATAGTTTTTTTCGTCTGCACTACAAATCCGATTTGTCTGCTTTCCCCCAATTCAAATGACATTTGTGCTTTTAGTCTGGAAAAATTTAATCTTTGAGTGGGAAATAAGAGTTTTTCATCTGCACTACAAATCTATTTTGTCTACTTTTCCCCAATTATAATGACATTTCTACTTTTAATTTGGGAAAATTTATCCTTAGAACGAGGAATAAGGTTTTTCCTCTTCTGCAGTACCAATTTATAATTTGTTTACTTCTCCCAATTCTAATTATATTTTTGTCTTTTAGGGAAAATTCATCCATCGAAACTGACGCAAAACTAACGTACTACTTAAAATCGCGTTTCCGTCGTAAATTAATGCATTGTAGCGTACTAAACGACGTTTCATGATACACCTAAAAAAATTCGATTTGTTCTGCCATCGCGGTATTACAAGTGTACATCGCAATTTCTTTGTTTGTAATTGCGAGTTTATACACATTAACACATTTCACATCACCAGGGTTAAGTCAGTCTGTCCCAGGGATAACACTATAAGGGTGTTACGGGAACACCACTACGGCGGTGGCGCACACCCTCAAATTGCCTTTTTTTTTTGCGTACAAGTTTACAAGCAGCTGTCAACTCGTTGCTTGTAAGTTGTAACTCCTAGAGCTGCAGTCCCGCTCCTCATCCACACACACAAAAGGCGCAGTGTTCGCCGCATGTCAGGGTGTCGGAATTACCCGCAAAGACACGCCCAGGGCACAATTGAAGCATGCTGCATACATATATGGATGCTTCGAACACGGACGTTGTTTGTTGTTGTACTAGGAACAAACATGCCCCAGACAGTGTGTGCCGACTCTCTTTTGTGTGACGTATCCTTAGCATGCAGATTGACCGTGCGGCTTGAGACTCTTCTGAGGCGAGTGTAAGGTCGCTTACGCGCTCTTTTCCGCAGAAGCACCCTTTGTTTACACCCTTTTTGCACCCTTCAAGAATAAAAGTCTTTCGATGTAACAGCACCTTATATCTCGCGAATAAAGAGGGCGTAATACTCGAAATGAGGAGGATGAAATGGTGCACTGCTACAGGCACGTAGCCAGGAATTGCAGCAGGGTTTGGATTTGGGCTAGTTGGTTGAACATGTTTAGGGGTTAAAAGCGCTAAAAACGACGGACGAGTAGGAGAGACACACACCACAGAGCGCTTTTAACCCCTAAACAAAACGTAGACAGGATTTTGTTTCGGGGGTGTGGGGGGGGGGGGGGGGGGGGGGCATGACAAAATGCTGTATGAGGGGGAGGGGGGGGAGAGGAGGTCCCAGCAAAATGGAAGACTTCGGGGGGGGGGGGGGGGGGGGGGGGAGGGCGGGCCCGATGGGCCACCCCCCTGGCTGCGTGCTTGCTGCTAGCTATTTGTGTGAGTCTCTGAAACACCCTCTTTATAGCCTGAACCGGTGTAAAGGTGTAAGGCGCGCTGCAGCTCTCGTCGAGCTTCAGCATGCTTGCCGCTTGCGAAGCGGGTCGGAGATGCGTCCACCAACGATGACGTCACGCTGGCCTTGTTTTCTAGGTGGTATTGCCTCAGGGCCATACCTCGGCAAACCTCACTCATGAGGGCCCTCACTCACCCTCACTCACCCTCACTCACCCTCATCTTCACAGGTGAGGTGAGGGTGAGTGAGTTTCTGAACCAGGAAAATTCATGAGTGTGAGGGTGAGTGAGGGCCGTGAGGGCTGTGAGGGCGGTGAGGGCCGTGAGGGCTGTGAGGGCAGTGAGGGCCGTGAGGGCCGTGAGGGCCGTGAGGGCGGTGAAGGCCGTGAGGGCCGTGAGGGCCGTGAGGGCCATGAGGGCCATGAGGGCGATGAGGGTGGTAAAGGGTATGAGGGCCATGAGTGCGTGAGGGGCGTGAGGGCGGTGAGTAGCGTGAGGGCCATGAGTGGCGTGAGTGGTGTGAGGGCGGTGAGTGCGTGAGGGGTGTGAGGGCCATGAGTGCGTAAGGGCAGTGACATGAGAGGCGTTAGGGCCGTGAGGGCGGTGAGTGCATGAGGTGGTGTGAGGGCCATGAGTGCGTGAGGGCGGTGAGTGAGTGAGGCGTCCTTCAGATCGAGCATCTTTCTCAGCAATTTTGGTGTTAATGGCGGGTTGTTCTCCGGCTTTCCCTAGATCGACACGAATTGCTGAGATCGGGTCCGGCTCGAAATAAGCAAGCAACTCAGAGCAATTCGAATACGTTTGAAACGGCTGCATCCAATCAGGGACGCAAAATTTTCACGTGATACCTCGTGTCGGTGATGATAACACCGAAAGACTTGGTTCTGGTTTGAAATCGATCGTTTTTTTTTGGAAATAAACTGTTTCAGAAAGGTGCATTAGTATTCTTAACGAGATTTAAATGCATAAAAACACGTTTATAACGCGTAATTGTGTCTAAATAGTGCAATAAAAATTATATTTTATGATGACGATGGCAAATTGCAGCAATTAGTTGCTGCGTGTGATCGCGGGCAGCCCGTGTTGCTGGTGTTGCGACGCAAAGTTTCTGGGCGAAATCGCCCCATCTGAAGCTGGCCTGACTGGCGTGAGGGCCATGAGTGCGTGAGTGGCGTGAGGGCGGTGAGTGGCGTGAGGGCGGTGAGTGGCGTGAGGGCGGTGAGTGGCGTGAGGGCGGTGAGTGGCGTGAGGGCCGTGAGGGGCGGTGAGGGCCGTGAGGGCGGTGAGGGCCGTGAGGGCGGTGAGGGCGGTGAGGGCCGTGAGGGCGGTGAGTGGCGTGAGGGCCATGAGTGAGTGAGGGCGGTGAGGGCCGTGAGGGGCGTGAGGGCCGTGAGGGCGGTGAGTGCGTGAGGGCCGTGAGGTTCAGTGAGGGTGAGTGAAGGGCTGAAGGTGAGTGTGACTGTGAGGGTGAGGATGAGTGAGGGGCTGAAGGTGAGTGTAGCTGTGAGGGTGAGGGTGAGTGAGGGGCTTAGGTGAGTGTGGCTGTGAGGGTGAGGGTGAGTGAGGGCGACGTAAAATGCCGACCTCTGCTCAGGGCACCGCCATCTTGCTGCTGGCGTGTGTAGATTGTCTGATTAGTAGAGTCAAACCATGCTAAGGCTTGCCCATGGTTGCCGGACTGGCGCCAGAACTAGTGTCTCCTCTATTTCTTCGGTGCCTGGCAGAAGAGGAGGAACGCGAGTGCTGTCTGTTCGTTTTTCATGTCCCTTTTTCGTTATAGTAAATTAGAAACCAACAGGCTGAACCATCTACACTGAACTACGGTGTAAGATAAGCTTCATCTTACACAATGTTCTGATTCAACCCGTAGGAGGGGGGGGGGGGTATGATTTTTGAAAATACAGGAAACTATTGCGCCGCCTAATCTCTTAGATGAATATCAGCGGGGAGTTAATGAAAAGTTAACCCTATACAGGCTTCATTTTTTTTTTCTCGTCCAATCTGCATCGGGGCACACATAGGTCATTTTAACAAAGTTTCGTGGCGAAGCGAACAAAGGCCACGGCGAACGCCGAGCAGAAACTGCGCAAGCCGCTCCAACGCAGACGATGCTAATTCCGTCAGATAATGGTAATGATGTTGAACCCTATTACAAAAACGTTCAGCCTTTTCACTCTCGTGACGTAGGAAGACCAGCGGAGCTGTACTCGATACACTGTGTGCTTCTTCTTCGTCGTCTGTTTTTCGCGCTGTTTCCTACGATGAATTCCCACCAACGCGCTCAACTATACATTCTTCTATTATAGCTGGAAAGGTTGCCTCCATCTACGAGCGACGGCGGAAACCATACTGGTTGTGTGCTTGCCGCCGTCGCTTATAGATGGCGGTAGCTGTCCTAGTAGGTTTGTGTCGACATACACGCACACGATCCTGGGGAACCTAGCCCTTAACAGCTCCGCTGTAATAGCGCCCACAAGCGGTCGCCACGAGTGGCGAGTCGACGGCTCCTCGAGGGCGTTTTGCCAGCCACAGGAAGTATAAAGGAGGCACTGTCCAGGGTAACCAAACTAGATTTGGAAGCGTGCATACGTCAAATACTGACGTATTGCCAAAGCACCCTTTCACGGAGAAAAATATCGAGGTACACCTAAGGGCACTTCTTATGAGTGGTGAATGCGAAAGCATGCAAGCCGCATGTCAGCTCCCTTTTTCGTCTGCTGCGTACTTTTCGTCACCGATCAGCGCGCGTCCTCCCAATAGGAGCCCCGTCGACGCGCGCCAGCCAATGGAACCGAAGGTGAAATCGCGAAAACCAGGTGCCGTTTTTGAGCTTCAAACTGATGACGTCAGCTCGCTCCATGGGACCCCCCCTCCCCCCAGTTTATGCTTTCGCATTAAAACGCGTCTCCCATACCTCTTCAGGTCCGCCATCTGTGCCACGCTGAGCCGGTAGGTGTGCTGAAGACGGCAGAGTCCCACAGCGGCTCCGGTCAGGTCCTCTTCAGTCGGCCAGGACAGGAGTTTCTGGAGCCGGAGGGCCCGGGCGTTCTTTAGCGACTCCCTGATGGCGTCCTGGATCGTTGAGGTCCAAGACCGCGCTAGTTCCGTTGTCAAGAGGTAACGGTCCACCGACCTGGAAGGAGACCATGGGTGAACGTTGTAAGCATGAAACATTTCAACCAGGGGTCCGGTTTTAGTCAACGTGGGAGCGAGAGCGTGAACGTTGTGACACAGCTTGCGCGTAATCAACCAATGATACATATTTAAATGTATCATTGGCGCAGAAAAGCAGGCGTCGGTGTTGTAACGGGAAAACCCTGATTGGTCGATGGGGTTATGACGTCACAGTCACATGATCTCGCGCAGGGATTTCAAACAACCCACAACGCCCAGGTGAAACGTGAAGTCACGCGTGGAAGGAAGGTGATTAAACATGATATGTAACAGGGCCGTAACCAGGGGGGGGGTTAGGGGGTTCTGACCCCCCCCGAAATTTTTTTCTGGGTACAGCCCTGGTCGGTGCACTGGCAGCCAGCCTATGTTAATCTCCACCTCTGTGCACGCGCAGTGGCACCGGTCGGCTACCGGGTACCAAACCGGGACCGGTTCTCCGGTTTGCTGTAACTCTCCATTATATGCCACCGATGCACATGATTCATAGGCGAAAATAAGACAATAGACACTTTCAAAATGGCCGCCATTGTCCCCGAAAACCCCCCCCGAAATTTTTTTCTGGGTACGGCCCTGATATGTAATACGAATTAAAGGCCGCCGTATGTCTCAAATGATTTTACTTTATAAAGTAATTTATCTGCCTTAAAGAACGAATTTGAAGATTTTAGGCGGAGGCGGCATTCAAACCCGCTACCCTTCGACTACAAGCCAGACACGCTACCGACTAGGTAGGCCATGTAACACTTTTTGTATATCTTTATTCAGTCTACCTGCGCACCGTCCAGCATGGGGGAACAACAACAAGTTTTACGATGGCCTACTGCAAAACTTGTGGTATTGTAAAACTTGTGGTTGTTCCCCCATGCTGGACGGTGCGCAGGTGGAGGAACGCAACAAAGAAAGGTTAGAAAGAGAGTTGCTGGAGGCGGCAAACATACATGCTTGCGATAAAGACGTTTTCATCAGCGTCGCATCGGTGTATATGCAACAGAAAGAGTATAGCTTCATTAACACGATCTAGCTTGTAAACATTAACACGGCGTTTTTTCCTTTCCTCGTTCGGATTGTGCGGCGGGGTGATGTAGCTGTTTTGCTAACTTCTTGAACAGACGGTGGGCCGGCTATATCTACTGATTTGGCGGTATGCGGAGGGCAAGTTCGTCTGCTCCTTGCGCAGGGGGTAGCGATGACGTCAGAACGCCGAGCCCTGATTGGCTGATCGAGCCCCCCTATCTGAGCGTCGTCTGCTTCTTTGCAACGTCGTCTGCTCGCAACGTCGTCTGCGTCTGTCTTACGTTTCCTGCGACTTTCGGAAGTGCAGAGGCCAGATTCACGAAGCGATCTTACGCCAAAAATGTGCGGAAGACAAAGCTTAAGAACAAATTCGTATTCACAAAACGAAATTTTCGTAAGTTTTGCGCATGTTACGGCGAAATCCTACGACAGCTTCGAAGCTGTCTTACGCACTTACGATCAAGTCAGCATGGCCGACAGCGTCGCGGTCGCGACGGCCCACGGACGTTTATTTTTCTACGTGAGCTTCTCACGCGTCCTGACTTCAAGCAGCAAAAAAAAAAGTAAAAATTACTTGAAACAGAGCACGACGAACAAGAACGCTGGATCCACAGACACCGGGGAAAAGCTCCAACGGCGACGATTCCACCGAACGCGACCAAACGAGCTGGGCAGTTAGGCCTAGCAGGCACTCCGCGACTCAGCGACCGTCTGCCCACGACCGGCTGACGTGCTGAATGGAATATGCCCGCGCGACCCTTGTGAACCCTTCCCGTGTTATACTTTGATCGCTGACCTCAATTTTAGATTAAGAGGTCAATTTCTTCCTCTTGTTATCTCCTTGTTTCCCGAGGCAACGGTGACTCTCGCCGGTGAAAAAGCGGCGAATCTCCGACAGACGCAGGAAAGTTAAAGCAGCCATCGCTTTGACTAGCAGACGTAAAGGCCAAGTCGAGTTCGCTCCGAAAGTCGCATGAAAGGTAAGACAGACGCAGACGATGTTGCGAGCAGACGACGTTGCAAAGGAGCAGACGACGCTCAATAGGGGGTCGCGATCAGCCAATCAGGACTCGGCGTTCTGACGTCACCTCTACTTCCTTTCTCATGCGCAGAAGACGAAAATGAGCCCACTTGCGAGGCGTATACGCCGCGTTTTGGTTGAGACGAGATTACGCGCGTGCACGGCGATAGCAAAGGTGGAAGTGTTCAATAAACTTTAGTTGCAAGTTAGCGCTTGTCCTGTGTGCTTCATCGCCTTCTTGTCCCGTGTTTTTTGCGCTATTTTTAAGATGAATGTTTCTACATTACTGAGGTGCAAGAACCGTGCAGTCAATCGTCGGCGATTAGCAAGATGTGAGGATAACAAAACTCGTCGCATATTTCCCGAAAATTTATGCACAAGATTTGAATGATGTGAAAATGTATCATCCAATTGTAATAGGCTGAATAATAAGCAGCCACCCTCGTTTATATTGAAACATTCTATATAGAAACTGTTTTGATATTTTGCGTTGCCTTTTGATCTGTATATACTTGTTACTCATTGCTTTGTAGCGTGCTTATGTGGTTACTCTTATTTCAAGTTTTAAATTACACTGAACATCACACGTTTGCCTACTTTACGTTGTTTTTTGTTTTTTTTTTGAAAAAGTAAACAAAAATAAAAACGTATTTTCGAAATCGTAGAGGCGCATAAGGCCGATAAGGCCGCGATTCCGAGACATTCGGGCTAGTTTCCAAACTTCCCACCACGCGGCGCTCAAAGACCAACCTGCAGAATATTTTTCAACCAGAAAAAAAGTTCCCCTCGCCACACTTCCCATTTCCTCCTCTCCCATAGTTAACTTGACGGCGGGGAGACTCCTTTTGTTGCTTAGCTTAGCTTGGCCAGATAAGCCAAGCTAAGCGCATAATGGGCGATTTGCGACGGGAGGCACAGCGCCCACCCCTTTCCTCCGGCGATACCAGAGAAGCGCCCGAAACCGAACTCTCCTTCCTGCAGCATTTCAGAGCCTAGCCTCTCGGGTTTGTCTCTGAATTTTTGTTTTGTTTTGCGATAACCATGCTTGGCTAGTCCGAGCATTTGACTGCTTTTGCCGTCCATGTAAAGTGACCCAAGGCCATGTGAGGATGGGCATAGGCCAAGAGCCATCGTCCAAAAACCCTAGAGTTCGAAGGAACTACCGCATTTTCCGGACTATAGCCCCCACCCGGTGCATAGTCCGCAGGGAAATATTTTGCGTCAAAAATAAAAGTGTTTTCTTAGATAGTCCGCACCCGGTACACAATCGGCACCCAGTGCAAAGCCCGCACTTAGCACCTAGTCCGAACGTAAAAAGTATCATACTCAGCAGATCTTGACAAACGCCTACTGTATTAGGTCACGATGAAGCTTTATCGTACGTAAATCAACATTAGTATAGTCCGTTACTCATAAAATCCTTCACGATTGTCATAGTGAAGGATCTAGAAAAATTAAATCATTGTATTGTCCGCACCTGTAGATATTCTGCATCGGGTGAATTTTCAACTTTTAAACTTGTATAGTCCGGAAAATACGGTACTACAGAGTGTATTGTGACCCTGGGTACTTGAAGAGGAAGCGGCGAGCCTTACAAAAAGTGTTTACGGGACGGGAACTCATGCCAGCGTGCGTACTCTAACATGTCCGGTGCTTTTACCCCAACCCACCTGGTGTTGCCTAAATGGGACACACGTTGAAATAAACAGTGCTGGGGGCTGTCAAACCGTTGTTTTTTTCTGAAATTTGACCGAAACTCCAAATATTGAGATCTGCAAAAATCCATAATACGAAACAGCCTTTTTTTTTCGGTTCCTTGCATTTTTATATTGCGTTTTGAGATCCTACTAGTGACCAGTGCCGCGTTTAGACGTCATATTGCACGTGGCCACACCGGTGACTAGAACTCACCCTTCCGTAAGCAAAAGTTTAAAGTACAAGTTCACCCGTCAAATTTTGGAACTGTAATTACAATATTTCGTTAATTTTTCTCAAATCAATATCTCTTCTCGAAATGGTTAATCACTTTAGTACAGTCGCCCTCTTGAGATTTCTAGGCGAGAGATGGCAAAAGCACTTTCCAAAACTAACTGTTTTACATTACCGATTCCTTTCTTAAAAATCACTAAAATTTAATTATATCACATTACAAATTACTGATTACTAAAACTCTGGGCATTCTCTTCGTATTACAATTAATTTTTGCAGGTAGAGTTTGCCTGTCGATAATGAAATATCAGTCTGCTGTTGCAAACAGTGCAATGTAGGCGCAATATAATATATTACTGTCATGCCGCGAGCTTGTTCAGGAAGCCGCCGATGACCAACGAGGTTTTACGATGCGCTAATAACTCCAAAGTATCTGAATCAGTGGTGTCGCCATGCTGTACTACAGCGCAACATATGAGATGAGACCATAACCGTGCTCTCGCAAGCTCGTTTTTAATAAAAAAGAAGATAATATTTTTTTTCTTTAATTCTCTACTTGTGCTTGTAAGTTGCAACACAGCAAGAGCTACTCAAGTCTATTGGAATGTATCACTGATATCCGATAAGCTGAGGTGGCGTAACCTGTGCAGCATAAAATGCTTTGACGGAATCGTTTGTTCTTAGGATCACGCGTGAGGTGCGAGCTAACCTATATACTTACAGCCAAGAATAAAGGCTCCGAGCATTAATTTGAATGCGACGGAAGCACTTCGACTTTCCGGACTGCCGTGACTATATCTGGAATAACTTCTCTAATCAAGGTGAACACACGCACACATATACCGGAGGCACTGTTGAAGTTTCAGGGGCTCGGGTTTGCGTAGAGATTATCATTTGCGCCGATACCCGGTTTTCGCTTTGCTAAAATATTTCAACAACTGCCAGTCTTGAACGGGTCAACGAAAGAACTGATCGTTTTCACGTAGTTGGGTTAA